GCTCCTCGCGTCGCGCCGGCGCGCGGGCCGACGCGCCTTAACCGTTGGCCCAACTGCATCCTCCTGGGTATGTTCCTCATCCACTACGCGCAAAGGTAAGGACCGGCTGCCCCGCGCCTCTCCCTGCCCGACCTGGTTCCCTGCCCTCTGCCTGTGCACCAGGGCCTGGCGCCCTCTCCTTGCGCCCGTGTTCCCTCTCGCAGGATCCCTTCTTACTTTTCTACGGTTTAGACTTTGGTCTCTTTGTTGTGGATGAAGGAGCTGTTTTCGCCCAGCCAAGTGGTCATCTGCAACTTGGAAGCCGGTTTCCTACAACTGCCTGTGATTTCGCCTTTACAAGGCACTGACTCTATGGGCTTGAATGGATCACATTCAGAATTTCACCTCCACTTTTGGCAAGGGCCCCACAAATGCGGAAGCGGCTTTCCAAGAAATCACCTTAAATACACATAACGTTTTCAAGGTTACTTCCAGATGTTTTGCTTTGGTGAAGAGTGTTAAATGGCAGTGTCTGAACACCTCGGGCCTTGTAGTGAGCTGGGGCTCTCTCCAGCTCTCACGCTTTGACTCTCACACAGCTAAGCCAAATGGCCCAACGAAAGTTTAAAATCAACGCTTTAAACTTTTCATTCAGATTTCCAAAGGCTGCCCAGTTAAAAGGAGTGTTATCTGCCTGTGAGGGAGCTGTGCCGCTCTCTCTGGGCAGGTTACGTGACCTCTCTGATTTGTGGTCCCACGTTACTACACCCAATTCATAGAGGAGTAGAAGTCAGTGAGTGTCTCTAAACCGCTCTTGAGCATCTGGTGCAGCATGTGTCCTAGTCTGCTTTTATTGAAATGGGCAGAGCCCACGTTCCACGAAGGCTCACTGAGCCGGTGCTCCTGACACTCCCAGATTTGTCCAATAAGCAAAGTTGTTGCCAGGCTGCTAGATGTTTTGTAATGTGATTGAGTGTCAGGAGAATTCTTACATCTGTATACATTTCTCCAGAAACATGCCAGAACCTGTGCCTTCCTGTTTCTGTAAAGGCTGAGCGCAAGCTCTGGAGACAGACTGCTTGGTATTACCCAAGCCCATCCCTGGTGAGGTGCCGTGGGATGAGTCACTGAGCTGCCTGCAACAGGCCTCCCCATCAGTGAACAGACACAGCGAAGGCACCAGCCTGCGGGATCAGCATGTGTGTTAAATAAAGACAATTCCATGAAATGCCTGTGTGGTTCTGACACAGCTGAGGGCTCAGTGATGACAAATGACACCACTTTCAATTTGCCATGCAAACAGGCACATCCAGGTACATGCTCTGCATGGCATTCATGCTCACTGCTGCCGGCTTTGAGTGCCAATAAAAAACTTCTGAAGACAAGGCAGTGGGAAGACGTAAAGGGAGCACTTTGCAGAGTTTTGTCTAAAAGCTGGGAGTTGAAGCTTTTTACCCTGAGATGTATGTGTCGCTGCGTCTCGGATCTCTAGGGGGAGACCGGATGCTGCCTCCCAAAGGGCTGAGTCACTTCTTGAGACAGAACGTGAATAGATCGTTTCATACAGAGGAGGCCACTGAGCCACAGAATTCACTTAAGGTTGCTGGACAAGAGGGTGCTCGGACTAAGCCCCCCAGTTTCTAGACCAGTGGCTTTAAAATTTCTGCTCCCAAGGATTTGTGGGTCAGGTATAGTTTTTTTAAACTGCTGGGCTCTTTTCTTTTTCAAGTCATACATATTACGGTACACGTGGCCCGTGTGGTTTGGGGACATTCCAGTTTTCCAAATAGAAACGATAAACATCTTCCATTCTACCCAAGCAACTAATTTATTAAACGGTCATTTGACGTAAGTCAGTGAGCACTTGGAAGAGAGCAGAAGTGCAGAGAGCATTCAGCACCTGTTTGAATCCAGCCAGCTGACCCAGGAATCGTTTATGCAGGCCCTCCTTGTCTGGGCTCCGTGGACCATTCAAGGCAGGGTGAGAAGTGAGGTGTGAGTGCAAGCCCAAGGCAGGCTGGCGGCAGGAGAAACACCAACCAGAGGACGCACTCGGGAGACACGGACAAGGCTGAGGGGTAGCAGCTACGCGGCTGGGCAAAGCTGGGGAGGACACAGGAGGGGACAGGGCCCTGCCTTCGGGGAGTTTTAGCCTCTTGAGGGAGTGATAAGGACCGAAGCCACGTGGAGGGGCTTCCCAGGGTCTGCGGGAAGAGGGTGTTTGCCTGTCTGTTTATGTCTTCATTTGGGATGCATTTCCTAAGGACTGATTCACCTACCTGGCGCTAGACTCGTTTTCAGAGCTGTAGACAGAGAGACAAGATATTCCCTTAAAGAATCAAAGTGTACAAAGCAGGCTCTGGAGAATCAACAGGATCTTTTGGGCAGAAGAGCCAGGGATGGGCGGGAAAGCCAGCTGAGGAGGGGAAGAAGGGACAGCTGTGGGACAGACACCAGGGCCCTGACCAGCACCCCCAAGGATGGTGAAGGACATTTGTAGGAATGTCTTTTAATCCATGGCCAACAGCATGGTTGTTCCATGAGCTGCCCCTGCAGTTACAGTGTCCCCTGCATCCCTCTGCACAAAGGGCTCCTCCTGTCCATCTCAGGGTTTCCCGAGCCCTGGCGGCATCTTCTCATGGCGCCCTGGGACCTGTGTGCATAGAGCGGTATCTGACTGCTTACCTCCTCACCTGAGGCAGGTGCATGCTGGAAATCACAGATTCCTGCTGTCACCACCACCAGCTCAGGGCTGCTCTGCGTTTGTCAGAGGCCCCAGGCATGGCTCCCTCCATGGCTGTCTCACCTCATGTTCTGCTGCTCTCTGCCCTGCCTAGCAGAGTTCTCTATTACCTGAACTCAGGGTCCCCATGTCACTGGTTTTCCCTTCCCATTCAGCAGTGAGTGAGTGTGTCACTGATTATTTCTTCATCTGCTGCCCCATTTAACATTAGTTACAAACCCAAGTCCCACTTAAGGACGGAGTCTTTACCACTGGGTGGCCCCAGTGACCTCCTTTATCTTGAGGCCACGGAGGAAGGATGCCAAATGCACCTCCACCTCACCAGAGTGCAGACTTTCCATCACCCATCCCAGAGTCTGCGCTCAGCCAAAGCTGTGACCTCGTGGCATGATGATTCTGCCATCCCTGATGGCACTGCCTCAGAGAGCCTCCCCACTTCAGATCCATCGTGTCTCATACAGGGGTCTCTTAATGGTCCTTGGGGAGAGCTTGGCCCAGCCTCTCTTTTATTTATTTTTAAAAATTTCATCTCATTTTTTCTCCCCTTATTGGAGGCACTGGATTGAACCCAGGACCTCGTGCACTCCAAACACGTGCTCTACCACTGAGCTATACCTCCCCACCCCAGCCTCTCTTTAAAATGTGCCATTTGGTGTGTGTAACATTAAGACACAGCAGAGAACTGGAGAGGCTGAAGGACACTCCAGAACCTTGGCCCTGGGCTCGTGGATTCAAGTAATTTAAGAAAAGGAAAACTTTACACAAAGTAAAGCATGGTAAGTGAAATATTCATGTGTTGGTGAACTTGTCTTCAAGGGCAGAATGCTTATTTAAGTGTGTGGCTTTATTGCAATATAATCATCATAGTGAAAAAGTCTCTTTTTAAAAATTTTTATATGGTTTTTAGTGAAAGAGACTTTTACAGAAGGAAAGACAAGCAAAAGGAACTGATCCAAACCTAAGAAGTGCTGTAGATTTCAATGATGTCAAATAGCTGAGAAAAAAAGTAATAAAGTCAGTTATTAAAATTAACCACTCTCAATTTTAAACATTCAAAAATAGTACATCTGCCATTGCCTGAATGACTGCCAAATCACCAGGTTAGCTATTTCGTGTCCCCAGCGTGGGCGTGTGATCTCGCAGGCCGTCCTGGGAGAGGATGCCCAGTTGCTTTGATGTGGGGAGTCGGAGCTTTTACTGGATGATTGCAGTATTTCTCATTGCAAGGAAGCTGGAGTGTTGTTATTGCTGTTGGGAAAATCTTTTAAGAAATAACTCTTGTTTACTATGTGCCTTGCGTGGCCATGGAGCTTGTGTCTGGGATTCCAGAAATTGAAACGTTACTTTCAGTGATGAAGGAGGAGTCCACCAGTGGCTGCCTGCCTGCGGCCCTTTGAAAGGAGCACTTCCCCTCCCGCCTTCCCTGCCTGAGCTGATCGCATCTGGCAGATGGGCACGGTGGCTCTTTGCCAGTGACTTGGGTTTCCTGTAGGCATTAAGCCTGCTGGCTCGAATGGTCGGAGAAACCACATGGGAATGACACGGGAGGGTGAGAAGCCTGGAGCTCTGGGTGCCACTCTGCAGGCAGAGAGGAGGACATGGGGCTAGCTCTGGGGACTTTTGTTCTTCTTGGTTATCCGATTTCCTTCCTGGTGCTTATAGGACACTTTCTTTTTTTCTTAAAATTAAGAAAGTGCCCCACAGATACTCTGCAGTTTGCTCGTTTGTTCATTGTGCCTGATTCTCTCTGAGCCTTTCCAATAAGCAACTGCAGGTCTTCGGCCCAAGAAAGCAAATCAAACCAAGCAGACCTCACTCGTCGGGTCTGTTCTGAATGCATTAGGTGTCAGGGCTTAAAACACATGTCAGCATATTGGGTGAGGGCAAGGCAGTGTGTGAGAAGGGCTTCTGAATGTGTGTGCCTGTCATGACCAAGCCTGGGCCCGAGCCTGGGTCGTGATGGCAAGGTGTCCATCCAGCAGGTGTGCCCTGGATCCTTCACCCTGATAAACTGCCAGGGTCCACCACCATCGTTGAGCTGCTCTTGACCCCCCAGAGTCTAGGTGAGAGCTCAGATGAAAGCCATGCCCAGAAGCCCCCCTGCCTGACCCCATGCTGGTTCCTAATTGGCCCAAGTCAAAGGAAAATATTTCTGACCACAGCTGCATGGATTTCCAAGGAACAGACATAAAGCTAAAGGGAATAACCCAAAGGGAGAAAGATAATCCAAAAGATGCCAAGCAAGAACAGAGCACTGCCCTCTGGAAGCCATGTTGCTTCTGGACGTCCGGCTGGCCGAGGTCCTCAGAGCCAGGGTGCCTGGTCCCCATGGGTGTGCTCAGCCACTGGGGAAGGAGAGGAAGATCTCAGCTCCCTCCTTAAGAGGTGGCCTTGACCGAGACAGCTTGTTCTCCTCCTGACCTCAGTGGCCTTATGTCCAGGCCTGTGGACATTGGGGCCACAGCTGTCCCCTCCAAGGGCAGAGATCAGAGAACAACAGAATTGACCATGTCAGCCTTTCGAAGGCCCTGTTTCCAGCCCTTGCCCTTTCCCTGACATTCACTTAAGAGCAAAGAGAGCCCGCTCTTCCCTCCACGACGTCTGGGAACATTTTCCCCAGACTCTCCCAGGGCACGTGCTGGAGCAGGAGTCAATGCGACTGTCCTTCCCATTTGGTAACTGAGGACACAGGTACACAGTCCCCACCACCCACACCACCCACTGGGAGCCCCAGACGGCAGCGGCCGCCCACAGTCCAAGTGCCCAGGCCTCTGAGAAAGTCAAAGTGATGTTTCCAGAATAGAATTCCTACTTTAACCTAGACCAAGGGCTGCAAACTTTTTGGAAAGGGCCCGGTGGTGCCCATGTTAAGTTTTGGGGCCGAAGTACAGAATAAGTTACATTGTGTAAGTATTTACAACAAAAGAGAAAGCAATTTATCACAGAAATTGTATTGACAAAATTCGAAGTATGGTACCTTATTACAGTTTTTATAATACAGGAACAATGAGAATGGAATTCTTTTTTTTTTTTTAGGGTACCTTCTTATCAAAAGCTGTTGTGTCTACCTCTTAGTGTTGATCTGTAAGGAAGTTTTATCTTTAAAAATCTCTTCACACATGCAGGGACTGCCAAATACAGATCTCAGTCCACAAGTTTATGGTTTTAATTTCACATAATCCTGCCTTGAAAGGCTTTTATGGAATTCTGTTGCGTTCTGCCTTTGGCATTTGCCTTTCAGAATGTCCTGACGTCGTAGATTAATATCTCTCAATTGAAAACTAGATGGTAGCTCCTCAATTACACAATTAAGTGGCTTTTGAAATATTGAAACCAAAGTTTAAAAAAACACTGGTGGAACTGTAGCCTGAGCTTAGAAATTTGTCTACAGCAAACTAACATGAGAATGGAGATCTTGCTGCTTTTAATTTTAATAGCATAGAAAGTATATCAATAGCATTTGACATAACTTGTGATTCAAACAGTGTCAGTTGTTGAAATGACTATCACAGTATAAATTTTGCATGTAAGTGATTTTTGTCTTACAATTTTAGGTGGATTCACTAAGAAACATTATCAAGTCTGCAACAAAAGCTGATTTCCAATGCCCTTTAAAACGCAGTAACAGTGGTTGAGGACAGTTTTTCTCAGTGAAAAAATTTGGCTTGAGCTCAAAATAGTGGGCAAGTCCACAGAGGGAATGTCAGATTCACTGTTCACACTGTTGGTTCAGACATGCACAATATAATTTTCTTTTTTTTGCAAAGTACCTGCTGGTATAGGAAATAGCTTTAAACACCTTACATTTTCACAAGCTTTGTAAATTTGTAATTTGTCTGTGTCTGTTCCACACATTTTTACCACCACAAGTTATAACAGCTTAGCAGATGCCACTGTAGATTGTACTGAAGTAGTGTTCCCTCAGCTTCTCTGGAAACAGCCTCACCTTTGGTTGTTCCATGCAGACTGTTTAGAAAGCCTGATTCCTCAGTCACTTCAGCCTTAATATTTGACTCCTAGGATAGACACCTGAGCAGCAGCAGCAAACCCGGGGACACCAAAAGCCAGGGCTGCCCGCCTCCTCCACCTTCTGCCTGGCTTTTTCACTGACTGTCAGCATCATTCCTGGTGCCCTGACTCCTCCAGCAAGCGTTTTCGAAGAAAGGCTAACCGTGTTAAACAAGTTTATGTTTCCTGGACATGTTTCTTTAGCTGCCACAATTAATTAACTCACCGCAGGTGTATCATTTCCCTTGCTTGGCTGACAAAATGAGCTGCTTCGTAGCTTCCTGTGGTTGTAGCCTTGTTTTCATTTCTTTTGCAAAGAAATTCAGTAATGGGGTTCTGTTTCAGATTCTCTAATTTTTTGTTTCCTATGAGCTGAGGACGCCGCAACGATGGCTCAGTCTGCTAGCGCGGACCTCAGTTAACGGTCTTCTTCTGGTGCAGCTGGTGTCACACATCCCAAAGGATGCTTTGTCATCTGATGCGGTGGCAGAATAGCCCGCACTCCGCCGTACCTTCAGAGCGTGGAGCATGCCCTCTACCTGTTCTGACCTGATGGGTGCGCACTGAGCACCTGTGGCCCAGTGATACGCGGGGCACTCAGACCACTGCATCACGGTGATGGGCAGTGCCCCGAGCAGCAGTGCAAAGAGATGCAATTGCCAGCCTGCGGGCTCTGTCAGACAGCGTGTAAACGGGGGACCGTGCCCATGTTTCAGTACCACTTTATTGATGGACGCTGAAATTTGAATTTCATGTAATTTTCCTGTGTCTTGAAATATTCTTTAGATTCCCCCCGCCTCTCCATTTAAAAATATAAAAACCTTTCTTAGCTCACAGGCTATACCGAAACAGGTGGTAGCCTGGATTTGGCCCCGGGACGGTGTTTGCTGACACCTGATCCAGATGCATGTTGATATCGCGGGCATAACATTAGTGACAGATAAGGAGCATCCGTGAAAGCCAGGCAAGAGGGAGGTTTGGGTTTCACCTTTACGACATGCCAGCCAGTGTTTACCAGTTCATAATTCAGCCCTGAGCTTGAAACCAGGTTGGGAGAAAGCCATCAAGTGTCTGCAGCAGCTGCAGGAGGTTTCCTCAGAGTTGCTGCTTCCACACTCGTGCATCTATAATTTAGGAATTTGTGACATCTAGCCTTGAAGCTTTCCTTCAACCTTTTTAGTAGCTATTTTTCATATTTCAGGCTTCCGATTTTTCCTCCCCTGGCCCTTCCTGTGAGCCTGCGTTGAAGTCAGCATGGGTTCCCTTCAGGTCGTCAGTCCCAGTCTCTTAGGAACCGAGCATTCTGCATTTTAACAGGCATCTTTCTAAACCACGCCCAGCGCCTGCATCCTCGACAAGTCTTATTTCCTGAGCTTTTTTCCCTGTATTTCTTCAAACTTGGAATTCTAACACTTTCTCAGTTCGGTCCTGCAATTTGCCACCCAGAAAAGTCCTTGAGACCATAACTCCCTGAAAGTTTTCTCTCAGCTTTCTCCCCACACTGTCCCCTTTCTGCTTTCCCGTGGCTAGAGAATCCCGTAAGCTGCTCACTGTTGGTGCGTCTCCACTCTGTGCCCTCAGGGGCAGGGTGAGAACCGTCTTGTCTTCTGCCATTGACTGTTTCTTCCGAGTCTAGCACGAGGCCCTCTGCCCTAGCTGAGAAACAGGGAGGGGCAGAAAGTCACCATGACAGCAGTGCCTGATCACAGCGCTTCCAATCTCTGCCTATTTCTAAGGGAGCCTGTGCTGGTCCGAGACTCGCCCTTGTACCCCGATCAAGACCAAAGCCTGGTCTCGCTCGCGGTGTGAGCGTGTGCAGTTAGCCTGCACCCCAGAGGCCAGCCCGCTGCACCCACTGTCTGCTCAGGAACGAATCATGTTTCCACGATGCAGAGAGAAGTGGCTGAGAGTCCCTGTTCTTTCCGAGGTGCTGGTCAACACTGTGGCTTCCACACAAATTACCACCTCACTGATGACGTCACAGCCAAATGGATGCTTAACATCCAACTCATGCTTTGCCCTAAGCTTGTGTATCTCCTTTGGGGGAACGGGGCCAAACAAGCTGAGAACCTTGGGGACTGCTTTTGAGTCACGTGCGTGTTCTCCCAAGATGCTGAGGGAGACTGCTGCGGGGAGGGTGCCTTGAGGACGCACAGCCAACGCCATCCTGCTGTTACTATTACTGCTAATGATCGATTATGTTTTTGCCCTGGAGTAGCTGGCCAAAATGGAAACAAGTAGTAACTTTTTACATGTTTTCCCTGTTTTAAGCTGTAATTCTCATAAATAAAGTTCACTCATTTGAAGTCTACGGTTTGACCGTTTTGATGATTGGATGCAGTTGTGGAGTCACTGCCTCAAGTGAGATACAGAACAGTTGTGTCCCCTGAAACATGCCTCGTGCCTCTTTGCCGTCAGCCCCCTCCTGGCTCTAGTCTTGCCTCTCCTAAAATACCCTACGTCTAAATTCAGCTTCTTTCATTGATAGGATTCAAGTTGTTAGTTTGTTCTTCAGTCAGTTTTGGTCGCCTGGGTCTTTTAAGGATTTTGTCTGTTTCATTCAGGTTGTTGAGTTTATTGGCATGAAGTTGACACTAGTTTCTTATCCCCTTAAGGGCTGTAGGATATGTAGTGATGCCCACTCTTTACATGTATTACATGTTGAAAGAGAAAATTCAAACACAGAATAAAATTTTGTACCGTT